GAGATCATCTGAAGAACAGATTTGATCCATTAAACATTAAAGACTGAAGACCAGAAGAGTTGTGGGATGACATCAAGAGCATCTTACATAGCCCCACTTGGTCTCACCCAAGATGGCGGCTCAGGGAGCAGCTGAGCACGTTGGATTAGAAAGCACTGAATTTCTTGCTTCTGCTACAAATTTCCCTAGCTAACTGTGAGGACATGGGAAGTTGACAGTCCAAAGAAGCAAAGAAATGTATTTAAACCACAGATGATGCAGGGAAAAAAAAGTAATGCCCACCATGTGCACATATAGTAGAGATGGAAATCTCACAGCAGCTGCTTGCTAGAATGAAAACATATAGATCTGGGACCGAAATTTGACTGTCCTCCCTAAATTCCATTATAAACATGCTCACACACCAGGTACAGACACTTCTTGTGTGACCTTTTCATATGATGGCAATGCCCTTGCTCTCATGGAGGTGATGATACATTAAAATTATGGGATGTCTGACAGTTTAATAAACCACTTTTTTTAGCCTCTGGTCTTCCCACCATGTTTCCAATGACTGACTATTGTTTCAATCCAGATGATAAAGTCATAGTCACCGCACATCTGTTCAATGGGGATGTGGCAGCCTCCAGCTTGTTTTCTTTTAGTGCAGGACTTTCCAAAAAGTCTATGAAATAGACATCACAGATGTGAATAATGTTTTTCATTGCCTGTGGCATCCAAAGCTGAACCAGATCATAGTCGGAATTGGAAATGGATTGGCTAAACTATATTGTGACGCCAACAAAAGTCAGAGGGGAGCAAAATTATGTGTGGTAAAAACACAATGGAAGGCTGAGACTCAAACCTGAGACTGCATTATCACCCCTCATTCCTTGCCTATGTTCCGTGAACCCTGCCAGCAGAGTACAAGGAAATAGCTGGAGAAGGGTAGACTGGACCCCCTGAAGTCTCACAAACCCAAACCTCCTCTAGGAGGTCCAGTCGCTGGAGAAGGATATCGTGTTTGGTAAGGTGGAGGGTTAGTGAAAAAGAGGAAGACCCCTAACGAGATGGATTGGAAAAGTGGCAACAATAGTGAGGTTGTCCCAGGACCAAGCAGTGTTTCATTCTGTTTTGCATAGGGTCGCTATGAGTCAGTACCGACTTAATTGCACCTAACAAAAACAACAACAATAGTAATGCTATGATCCCCTTCCAAAACTAAGACTCAATGGGAATACACACTCTGATTGGTGACCACGCTCGTCACCGATAAGGGGAAGTGAGGGAAAAAGAGCAATGAAG